AACTTTTATCTATTTAAAAGTAAACCTGACCCCCGAGCAAAATAGTTTTTATAAAAACTTCTGATACCGATACCTTGTTGTGTATAAATCAATTTGCTTTCTTTTATATTATAAACTAGATTTTGGCCTATACTTGTCAGTTAGTTCTTTTCACAGACCTACCTACAGTCAGCAGGTGCTGTATGACAAGTATTCCTGACAGTCTACAGTTTAGGATTTTGTACCTAAGGTAAACACTCTAGCATAAAGAAAAGGGAAGGGTGTAAAGGCTATATTATCTAATATAAAAATCATTCCAAGAGGCTATGAAAGCAGAGAGTGACCTGAGTTTTAAAGTGTTAAGATTATCAATATTTTAAATGAAATTATTCTCTTTTTACAGATTGCTGTTGTTGTATACTGTTAAGTTGGAACCAGCTCATAGCTGACCCTCTAATGGGTTTTCAGAGGCAGAAAACTGCACAGAGGATACTGCCCATCTTTCTCCTGCGGCACAAATGCTGGACTAAAACCATATGCCTTTGGGTTGGCAGTGCATCTCCTAAACACTAATGCATCACAGCACCTGTATTACAGAAGGGTTAGAATGATAAGATACTTGAAATATATTTAAAGTGATAAATGATTCATACACATTTGCTTAATTTAAGTTTTCAGTCCTATAATATGGATATCCAACATTTACCTAAAGTGATATGTAAATCTTTTATAAAAAGTTATTGTTCTATGCAGTTGAGTTGGAGTCAACTCATCGCTGATAATCCTCCAGCAGGTTTGCAGAGGCTGTGAAATGTACAGGAGACTATCCTCCTGAGGAGCAGCTGCTGGATTCGAACCAGACTCAAAAGTAGTAGCACAACTCTTCACCCTCTATGCCACCAGAGATCTCTTCTTAAAAGTACAAATCTATAATTTCTTTTTTAATTATTTTTTAATGCAACATATATTTTGTTACAACATATCCTTTTCATTTAAATTTTTCCCTATTCATTCACTGTTGCACATTTTCCTCCTTGCCCAGCCCTGCTCCCAGTTCATTTTTCTCTTTGAAGAAAAAAATATAGTAATTCTTTCATTGTTAACCACTCCCCCAAGTCCACAGTCCTCTTTAATATGCATTTCTTTTCCTGTAATCTTGTCATGAAAATAATACTTAATCCTATATTCCTTTTAAACTGTTCTCTCCCTCATCTGTTTCAAAGCAGATAATGTATACTGTATAGTTTCTTAGATCAATTAAAATGTATGAGGGAGAAAAACAATACAGCTTTTTGGGAGAGTGGCATTTTTACTTTAAAAGCTTAGGGAAAATAAAATGTAAAATAAATATAAAGAATTGCTGAACTAACTTCACCCAGAAATTCACTCTTTATTCTACTTGCTATCTTTTTTGCATATATATTTTTCTACATAAGTCTCTTGAACAGTTTCAGAAGAAAAACAGAAATATGGATATTAAGGATGAGAGAAAAGTATTACACATATGGTAAAGGGAAACTGCTACAAATAGCTGCTTTCACTCAGCAGCATAGTGAAAAGAGTTTCTGTTGATTTCACATCAACCACATTTCTCATAGTATTCATCAAACGATTTTCATGATTTTCAAGGGATTTGAATATCCTCCGAAAATCACTTAGGTTCACCCTTCTTTAACATATTGGGGGGCAGAGGTAATAATCAAGATAACCACCAAGGTAACACCAAATCAACCATAAATTAGAAACGTACACCAAATTATTCGTTACCTTGAGAAATCAAACCACATATAACAAAAGATATAAGAGAAAACCTGAACATGGATGGACAATTCAGGCCTAGGCTTACTCTACACAGTAAATTAGAACATATATAATTGGAGCACCTTTTCTTCACATGACTTTTGCCCATTTTCAATAACATAAAAAGGGAAGGTTTATCTACAAGTGAGAAGATGGAAGTATTAATGAACACATTATGCTTAACCCTTGAAACTACTCTTCCTATCAACATAAAAGAAAATGAATTTTAATCATTTGTTCTAGTGTGATAAAAACATAAAATGTGAACTTAAATTCTGAATTTTTTTAATTAAAAAAAGACTTACTAGCTTCACTCACTACCAAAACTATATATTTATTCATGCGGCAACAAGAGTTTGCATATAAAGAAGCAGACAAATCTTTTGAGCATTTAGTCCGAAATTCTTACCATTCTCGCCTGTCTGGTTCCTCTAAATTACTATGTGGAACTTTCCTTAGATTGTACTAAAAATCTTTTTTCATATTAAGATCCTCAATTATTGCACTCTTCAAAGACCTTTCAAATATCTTTCTTATCCTTGAACTTTCCAAAACAGTAAGAGTTAACTTTTAAAACTGTATTTAATATAACCATGTCTTCTTGAAAGGACTTGAAGATGCAGAGACAATAAACACAAAACATACACTACAATTTACAAAACTATTTACAAAAAGGTACAGATAAATTTTTTAGAGCATTTACTGATGATGATGGTGATGATTTTAAAATATAATGTTCAAGAAAAACTACATAAATAAAAAAATTACATATATTTTCAGGTAAACTGTGTAAACATTTTAGACATATTATTTAGTATTAGATATGATATTGATAATGGTGATTGTGATAATGGTAAAAGTGACATGATCTGATTCAATGATTTTCAACCTGTTAAAAACTCTTTCTCACACAAAATCACAGGCAGCAGACTAATTAGTAAAATGATACATCATTGAAGCTTCTCTAGTTCAGAAAAATAGGGAGCTGGCAAACTTGTCCTTTCTCTTCTTCCCACCTTCCCCCCTAGATCCTGGAGGCATCCCTGAAGACCCTCTATGGCTGTGAGGAGAAGAGTTTTTATAATGCTGCTTTAACTGATCTGAAGCAATTTGGGGGAAACGGAATTTAACTTAAATTCAGTATCACAGGGACTAATATGACACTAATTTATTTTTTAATAAAATGAACATGTTAATGAATGAATAACCATAAACTATAGAAATTAAAGGAATCACAGAATTTAAAAGGCTAGAAAGAATGGCAACAATTCTACAAATCTGTTTTAACATTCTAGATGAGGAGCTGAGGCTTGATGAGGTTGAATAATTTGCCCAATTCTTTACTATTTTACCAGGAACTGAAGTAAGAAGAGAACTCTGGTCTGTTGCTCTTTTACTCTATCACAAAGCTCTCTTTCTGCTCCCTAAAATGACTTGTAAGTATTTCAGGTACTATTCAGATATAACTTATTCAACATTAATTCTTCTCTCCTTGTTCTTCAGTTCAGAAGACATCACTGGGCACAAGTATACTAATGACTACAAAGCACTGATGATAATAACCTTTGAAAACATTCTGAAAATGATTACAGAAACTGTACACAAACTAGGTAACAGGACTGGGTTAGATTTTAAATTTAATCTTATCTTGATTAATTTAAACATAGTAAAATTTGTTGCCAACATAAAAAAAATTGAACTAGCAGGGATCCTATATCTATAATATAATATCAGTTTCTTCAGATTAAAATTCAATCAAGTGGGGTTTTTGTTGTCTTTTTCTTTGTCTTCGATTAGAATACCTCTGCAACTCCCTTCTCTACTACTGCAGAGTCAGGACGAATGGAAAGATACTGTAAAGTGATTCTGAATGAACCTTGCATTAAGTTTTTATATTTTTTTAAAAGCAAGCAAGCTTGTTATGATAGAAGTTGCATAAAAGTTCTTCTTTCTGCTCAAGAAGCTATACTAAATGTATAAATCTTAGCTCACAAAACTTTAATTTTTTTACCTCTACTATTTCAAGGAAGCTTATGGATTCTAAAATTGTGTATGCTGTTGTTTACTGTCAAGTCAAAATCAATCCACAGCTGACCTTCCAGTGGGTTTGCAGAGGCAGTTAAATCACCGGGGAGAAGACTGCCTATCCTTCTCCCACAGAGCTCCTGGTACAACTGTGTGCATTTAGGATTGCAGCATAGCTTCTCAAAAGTGGAATTTTGGGTCATGACAGAAAAAAAGCTGGCCTAGTGTTACCTTGTTAGGAAGTCTAGAATTTTAAAGCAGATTATCTTTTCACTTTAAAAATATCAAACAAAATCTGTTTATCCACTATAGATAGGTCTTGAGTTGAAAAAGATCTTCTGACATATAATATGCAATGTGAATATAAAACTAACACAATACATTAATTTGGTATAAGCTAAAACATCAGCAAGAAGAAATGATAAAATAATTTTACTTTTAAAATTTAAGGATTAGAAAAGCTAATTTGGTTTCAAATAACATGTGTCATCTCTCAGAATTAAAAATTTATATAAAAACATAACTATATTTATTGCATATGCAGTGTTAAGAAACCAAGTATAATTCTGAAAACTTTTATAATAAAAATGTGGTTAAAAAAAGCATCTTTCACCTTTCTTCAAAGATTTTACAGATCAAAATTGATTTACTGCTACTAAATTCAAAGGAGCAATCATTTTTCATTTGGAAAAACAGCAGTAGGTTTTAAGTATGCAATAAAGCTTCTCAATAAGAGTTGAGGTATGGAAAAACTAAGAAGCACATTTCATTCTCAAATGCATTTTCCTCACCTTCCCAAAATGTGTGTGTGTGAGTGCGCGTGTGTATGAAATGATACAAATTTTTGTAAGGATTTAATTACTGCAGGAAAATATTGTACTTAAAATAATGTAAACACTAAGTATACTGCGTGAATAATTATTTTGAGAAGTATAAGACTTTGTAAATACAAATATAATACATTTAATATGTGAGAATAGTGTATCATATGATAAATTACCTTAATACTTTGTGATGAATTTACTGGAGAAATTAAAATAAAACTAGTATTAGTTTTGCCCTTTTATGAGCATGAAGAAACATACAATGAAGTAATAAATATTCACCTCAATATTATATAAGATTGCTTATAATGAGGATACAATGGAAGGACTAGAAACTAGGATTTGTGCTTTCATTTCTCTTACGTAACCAACCTTTAGCTGGCGGAAAAGGATGAGAAGGGAGTGAATCAGAACAGAGTTCCAGAGGAAACTGAAGGAGTTCTTCATTGTCTGTAGAAGCTTAAAAGGTAAATGCAAGAAAAACACTAATTATTAGTAATAATTTATTAATCAATTGAAAATAAGTTAACAATCTGGATATACAAACTACCTCAATTCTACTAAAGTTGGGTCAATTCTGACTGCCACATTCGGGTTTCTATGGGTTATAAATTCTGACAGCAGACTGCCATTTCTTTATTGGTGAGAGGCTGTTCAATTCAAATTACTGATTTGTTAGCGGATATAGACTTGAACTGTAACTATTATTATAATACCTCTTGGGTGGTAAATTTCATGCTAACAGCTAATAACTGAAAGAGAGGAGATTCAAGTCCATCCAGTCACCTTGGTGTTGCAGCCCTCAAAAGTCAGCTCCTGAAAGCCTTAGGACAGGTCTACTCCGACACACAAGGGGTTAGCATGAATTGGAAATAGAATACTACATTGCACCTTAACAGTTCTAGGAGACTTAAGCTATTATCTATCTTCTTTGATTAATACCCGAGCACAAAAATCTTCACTATATCCACTTGACATTAATGTTCAAATCTTTTAAATACCATCGAATTAGATAAACAAATTTTTTTAAAACCCAGACTTTTAAAAGCAACTAATTGTGAATAAGGAGCTCTGGTGGCTTAGCAGTAAGAAGCTGCACCGCCAATGAAGAATAAGGCAGTTCAGATCCACAAACTGCTCCATGGGAGAAAGATGGACCGTTTCCTCCTGTGTGATATACAACCTCTGAAACACTGCTCGAGGGTCAGCTATGAGTTAATTCTGATTCAAGAGTACACAAAAACAATTATGAATTCTTGAGCCACAAACTTGACAGAATGGAAAACCTTTTCTGGTCCACCCCCCCATTTTCCAGAAAAAAATAATCTGTTTTTAATAATTGTTGTTGTTGCTATGTACCGTAGAGTCAGAAATGACCCATAGCTGACCCTCCGGCAGGTTTTCAGAGGCAGTTTTATTCCAAGAGAGCAGATCATTCATCCTTTTCCCTCAGAACAGCTGGTGGCTTCGGGATTGCAGCGCCACGTCTTGCCAGTAGGCCACCAGAGCTGCAGTTGGTTCCCTTATGCCACTGAATGGGATCTTTGAAGGGCATATCATAATTTCACGAAAAAAAAAATAAAATAAAAATATTTTTAAACATTTGTGTTGGTTGGTAGCTCGATTTCTATGCTTAAGAGTTAGAATTACAAGTGAGTTAGTGTTTATTATGTTAAGCCTAAATTTTGCTGGAGTAAGAACAATCTGAGAAGCTGGTGAGTATTATGGAACATTTTTTGAGGAAAAATGCACAAGGACATACTTTTGGTGACTTCTATCACTGAGTTCCCATTATTCCTCAAGGACTTCATCACAAATTCCAGGACAAAAATCCCTGAATTACTACAGGATTACATCTATTCCTCACTATCTTATTATCTAACATTTTGCATTTTTGACAAGAGGAATAAATTTAATCGGACTACTTTGTGTACTAATTACATAAATCTGGTAGTTATAAATGGCAAGGTATGTGATCGAAGTAATTCTGGCTATGATAATAAAGTTATACACCAATTTGCCCTGGCCATGATCCTCAATGGTTTAGTAATTACATAATGCTCTAATTCGGTAGTTACATAAGGATGTAGTAATCCTTCATTGTGCCTAATGCCGATTTTTACAAAGCCACATAGTCTTTGGAATCTATGTTGTCAAGTAGGTTTGATAGCCTATAATCAAAGTTAAGAACATGGAATCATTCTCTCAATAAGTATCAGTCAAGTACCTACATATTTACGTGTGAAAAATAACAGTCATATGCTTATTCATGCAATTGTCTTGGTAGTGATAAACAGAGAAAGAGAGTGGTATTTTTTAAGAAATAATTTAATCTATCAGTCCTTTGCATTTTATTACTGAACTATACATGGACAAATGGGCTACATTTTTAATCTACCAAAGGTTTACCTCTTTGCAATGACTTTTCAATATGTGGTTTTGTAGTTTGCAAAGCCTGGTTTTTGTCAAAAGTTATTGCAACTGCTGTGACTGTAACCTAGAATAAAAGAGTTAAGATTAACAAAAATAACTGCCAAAATAAGTTTCCCACATATCCTCTTCAGTACTATCAAACAGCCTGTACAATTTGCTCACCACCTTTCCTGTTAAAGATCCTCAAGGATAATTATATACAAACTGAAGCAATTAAATTACAACTAGACTCAATGTGTTTATCTAAGCCTATATATTCCAGAAAGTTCCATAGCAAACTTTCTCCTGAAAGAACTACATATCCTATTGTACACATGGCTGGAACAACACCTGAAAACTAGGGTTCAAACAAAAGAATTAAGAGTCAGGAACTTGTTAACATATGATTAGAAACATTTTGATGAAAAGTTTGTACTTACAGCATACAATCAATGTATAATTATAATATTAAAACAGATCAGATAAAGTTAGAAATATCTGTTAATAACTGAATCTTAATTACCTGAATTAATTCATCTTCAGGCAGAGAGACTGTAAAATTTACATGGCAAAGGCAGCAAGGAATCATAGATCTTAGTTTAAAATATAGACTCTGCAAAAAAAATATATTAGTAACTTCATTTCCTTCAATTTACAAATCTGTTAATTCCTGATTTTTAAACAAATCAAATTATATAATGGCAAATACAAAGCATTAAAGTAAAGTTGATCCATTTATTTTGTCTAGTCATAAATAGAAAAGATTTTCAGATTTTAGTAGAAAATAAAATGTAATCATATTTATCAACTCAGAGTAAATGATAATGTAAGAAAAATACCCTAAAAATGACCTAAGTAGAATATATTCTTATGACATTTAAAGATTTAGAATAACCTAAAAATTTATTTATAGTAGAGTTGGACAATGACTAGGGAGGATAGAAGGAGAATTGACGCCTTTGAGCTGTGGTGCTGGAGAAGAGTATTGAATGTACCATGGACTGCCAAGAAAACAAACAGATTCATCCTAGAGAGGGTTAAACCAGGCTGCTCCTTGGAGGCAAGGATTCTGGGGCTTTGCCTGACATACTTTGGACATGTTGTAAGGAGAGACAGGTCTTTAGAGAGGGACATCATGCTGGGTAGAGTAGAGGGACAGCGCAGGAGGAGAAGACCCTCTATGAGGTGGACTGATTCAGTGACTGGGGTAATCGGGATGGGTGTGTCAGAGGCAATGAGATTGGCACGGGATAGAGCAGGGTTTAGGGCTGTTGTACATAGGGTCGCTATGAGTCGCAAATGACTCGACGGCACATAACAACAACAACAACAGATTATACTAAGAAGACAACTTTAGCATCTCACATGCTAAGAATGTATAAAAGCAACTCAGCCCACAATCATGTCAGATATTCCAGATAATATACATAGAACTTTTTAAAAAAAATATGATTCTTAAATGTCTCAACTAAATTTCAGTCATCAGAAGATTCCTACCTTGAGCAAATTTTCACAAAGATCATTAAAGTTCTTATTAAGAGCTTGATTAGTCAGGTTAAGACTGCTTAATCTGATTACTCTTACTGATGTGAACATCTAAAAATGAAAAGATTAACAAGTCAGTACATTCTTTTTAACTAAATGCTGTAACATCTGGCAAAACTGTCAAATAATGGACAATAATAACTAATATGGTATAAAAAAGGATAGCATTTAATTGCAACAAAGTGGTCAGAAAAGAATATATAGTGTCAAACATAATTAAGAATAAAATGTTTACCTGTATTTCAGATGTCCAATTATTTATACCAGGCATAATTTCTGTATTGCAACTATAAAAGCCTGTCAAAACAAGTTTTAATTAAAAAAAATTTTTTTTTAAAAAACCAGCAATAAAATTTACTGGTGTTAAGTCCAACTCTCCACTGGGTTTCTAAGGCTATAAATTTTAACAAGAAGTGATTGCCCATATTTCTTTCACACACTGCTTGATTTTGAACTGCTGACTTTTGGTTAAGAAGCCAGTACATTATTATACTAAACCACCACAGAAGAGCTCCTTTCAATAAATGATAGTAATTCATTTACTTTGTCAAAAAAGAACAGTTATCAACCACGTCATGAAGTCTCAAGTATAAAGTCTTTCTATGGCATATCTACACATTCCGTGAACTTTTAAGATATTTGTCTATAATTAATCTATGCATTTCATTAATATATAAAATGATTACAGTTCTGTTTCACCTAAATTTTAACATAAATACTTTAAAAGCATGTTTTCTCAGTCTTGGAACAATATAGCACAAGATAGACTGACACGGTAAAGCCTTTTAATGGTATCAGAATGATAAACTAGTAAATGACATGCAAACGTAGTTTCATATAAAAAATGAAAAAGTAATAGTTCTCTCTTCACCTGAAGGTGGAGGAACATCAGTAAGAAGAGAGTGTACATCTTCCATGGCATCTGTGTCATCAATCTGAAAATAAAAGTAATTAAAAGTAGCAAAATGTACCTGCCTCAGCATTTTATTCTTTTAAGAACTACTTATATTGCTTCAAAGTGACAAAAGCAACTTTAACTTTTACACAGGCATATGAAGAGATAGAAGTATACAAATGGGAGAAGAACTGCTCAGAAAAAAGAAAAGTGAGAGAAGTTGCAAACTTGAGAAATGCAATCAACATTGTTGAAATGTACATGCTGAACGTACATCTATTTTGGTGTTTGTATTTTTGCCAATATTTTATTATGTATTATCTAATTATATTGAATGATATTTTTAATTATAATTATATTCATATGATAATATCCGTACACATACAAGGAAGTCCAGTGAATACCACCATCATTTAAATATATGCACCAACAACCAGAGCCAAAGAGAAGGAAACAGAAGATTTCTACCAGCTTCTGCAGTCAGAGGTCAATAGAACATGCAATCACGATGCCTTAATAATAATGGGTGACTAAAATGCAAAGGTTGGAAATAGAGAAGAAGAATCAGTAGTTGGAAATCATGGACTTGGTGACAGAAATGAAGACAGAGATAGAATGATAGAATTTTGCACGATCAACGACTTATTCACTGCAAATCTATTTTATAAGAAACGCAAACGCAGGTTATCCACATGGATTCCACCTGATAGTATACACAGGAATCAGATCAATTAAATCTGTGGAAAGAATTGCTGGAGAAGCTCAATATCAGCTGTGAAAACTAGGCCAGGTGCTGATTGTGGAACAGACTACAAACTACTCATATGCAAGTTCAAGCTGAAGCTGAGGAAAATTAAACCGAATCCACGGGAACCGAAACAAGACTTTGAGTCTATCCCACCTGAATTTCAGAACCATCTCAGGGACAAGTTTGAGGCCTTGGACATTAATGAGCAAAGATCGGATGAGTAGTGGAAGGATATCAAGAATATCATCCAGGAAGAATGCAAAACGCCATTACAATGACAGAGGAGGAAGAAAAGACCAAGATGGATTACAGAAAAAACTATATATTGCACTGGAGCACCAAGAAGCCAAAGCAAAGGGAAGAAATCAAGATATTAAGGAGTTGAAAATGATTCCAGAGGGCAGTGCAGGAAGACAAAGTAATGTATTATAAGGAAATGTGCAAGGAGGTGGAATCAGAAAATCAAAAGGGCCGAACTTACTCAGCATTTCTTAAGCTGAAGAAACTGAAGAACAAATTTAAACCTCAAGTTGCAATTCTTAAAGATGCTTTGGGAAGAATAGTAAATGATCCAGGAAGCATTAAAAGAAGATGGAAAGAATATACAGAATCATTGTACCAAAAGGAATTGGTGGACACAGAAGAATTTCATGAAACGTTTGAGCAAGAGTTTGTGGTGATGAAGAAGGTAGTTCTAACTGCTCTGAAAGAACTGGCAAAAACCAAGGCCCCAGAAATTGATGGCATACCAACTGACATACTTCTACAAACAGATGCTGTCCTGGATTTGCTCATCAAATTGTGCCAGGAAATACGGAGGATAACCACCTGGACAACTGACTGGAAGAGTTCTGTATTTGTTCCTATTCCAAGGAAAAATGACCCAACAATGCAGGAATTATTGAACAATATCACTGATATCACATGCAAGCAAGAGTCTGCTGAAGATCATCCAAAAAGACTGGAAAAGCACATCAACAGAGAACTGCCTGAAGTGCAGGCTGGATTTAGAAGAGGCCGTGGCACTAGGGATATTACAGCTAATGTCAGATGGATCTTGGCTGAAAGCAGGGAGAACCAGAGGGATGTCTATCTGTGTTTCATTGACTATGCAAAGGCACTTGACTGTGTGGATCACAACAAACTGTGGTTGACTCTGAGAAGAAAAGGGAATCCCAGAACATTTGATTGTGCTTATGCAAAACTTCTAACTGGACCAGGCGGCGGTCGTCAGAACAGAGCAAGGAAACACTGCATGGTTCAAAACTGGGGAGGGTGTGTATCAAAGATGTGTCCTATCTCCCTATCTTGTCAGCCTATATGAAGAACAGATTATCCAGGAGGCTGGGCTCTATGAGGAGAAGTGTGGTGTCAGGAATGGAGCTAGGCTCATCAACAATCTGTGTTATGCAGATGACACAACCCTTCCTGCTGAAACTAAGGAGGATCTGAAGTGCTTGCTGTAGAAGGTCAAGGACTGCAGCCTCCAATATGGACTGAAGCTCAACATCAAGAAAACAAAGACTCTCACCACTGGGTCAATTGGCAGCATCATGACAGATAAGGAAAAGATTGAGATTGTTGACAGCTTCAGTTTGCTTGGCTCTACAATCAACACTCTTGATACAAGATACCAGGAAATTAAAAGATAAATTGCATTGGGAAAGTCAGCTGTCAAAGACCTCTCCAAGGTACTGAGGAACAACAATGTCAGTTTGGAGACTAAGGTGAGCCTGACACAGGCCATAGTCTGCAATTACTTGCTATGCACCAGAGAGCTGGACAATGACTAGGTATGATAGAAGGAGAATTGATGCCTTTGAGCTGTGGTGCTGGAGAAGAGTACGAATATACATAGACTGCTAGAAGAACAAACAAGTTTGCCTTGGAGAGGGTGAAGCCAAGCTGCTCCTTGTCGTCAAGGATTCTGAAGCTCCGTCTGACATACTCTGGACATGCTGCAAGGTGGGATCAGTCCTTAGAGAGGGATGTCATGCTTGGGAGGGTGGAGGGACAGTGCAGGAGAGAAGACCCTTGATGAGATGGATTGATTCCGTCACTGGAGTAATGGGGATAGACATGTCGGAGTCAATAAGATTGTCAAAGGATAGAGCAGGGTTTAAGGATGTTTTATATAGGGTCACAATGAGTTCCAAGTGACTCGATGGCACACCACAACAATTATAATAATTATAGAGAGCTCTGGCAGCTTAGTGGCGAGAAGCTGCGCTGCAATCCTGAAGGCACATGGTTTGAGGCCAACAGCTTCTCTGCAAGAGAAGGATGACCATCTCCTCCCGTGCAATTAACTGCCTCTGAAAACTCGCCAGAGGGTCAGCTATGAGTTGGTTCTGACCATCGGTAAACAGCAACAACAATAATTATAGCATAACATTATATTATAATACAATAATTTAATTATATTGAGTAATTATATAGCATAATGAATCTTTTGATGGTTATATTTTTAATAAAAAAGAAAAAGCAAGATAGCATATAAGTAATAAGAGGATAATCACTTCCAATATAAAAGTACATTTACTCTCCTAAAAAGAAAATATTAATACTATACTTTCAAGGATCATTTCATAGTTCATTACTAAATAGAAAAAATTAAGGGACCAGGAAAAAAGCAATCATCCTAGATCAAAATAGCAACTTGAAAATATTGTCTAATATCTGTAAATGTCTTAACAGTAGTAATGCATATTTTATGTAGCTGTATATATAGCTGTAAAAATATCTGAATAGTACAAAATTAAATATTTTAAATATAAATATATACCAAGTCAAAAACGCCTTCTTTTTTTTAATTAACCATGAGAATAAATTTCAAAAGACCTGCAGTCTGATATTTCAACTTTCTGCATTAATACAGTATAGTAACAAACTTTCATTAACTAAATATTAGAAAACTCAGAGATATCAATGGTTTCAGGCCACCATAATAAAACAATATGGCAATAAATCTAGTCACGCAATTTATTTTATTTTTATTTTCTAGTATTTATAAAAGCTACACTGGCATTACATCATGGTTTATTTTGGAGTCCTGGTAGTGTAGTACATAATCAAAAGGTCACCATTCTGAATTCACCAGCCACTGCACACAGAAAGCTGAGTGATCTCATAACAGTAGAGATATACAGCTACAGAAACTTGATGGAGGGTCATTATATATCAGTACTGACTTGACAATGGTGGGTTGGTTTTTAATAGTCTGTTAAGTCCAATCACATTATGAAAATGTTTGAAATATTGCAAGAATTATCAAAATGAGACATCATGACTACATGCTAATAGTGATCCTCATAGTAAATAGTGCCAGTAGACTCGGGCGGATGTGTCATTGCCACAAACCTTCAACTGTAAAAAAACATATTGTTTATGTAGTGTAATAAAAGGTGAGCTCTGGTGGCCTAGTGGCAAGAAGCTGCACTGCAATCAAAGAGGTACACGTTTCAAATCCACTGGATGCTCTGCTGAAGAAGATGGTATGCAGAGCAGATTTTCCGGGAGGTTGGGCTCTATGAGGAGATTTGTGGCATCAGGATTGGTGGAAGATCTATTAACAATCTGCGCTATGCAGATGACACAACCCTGCTTGCTGAAACTGAGGAGGACCTCATGTACTTGCAGCAGAAGGTCAAGGACTGCAGCCTTCAGTATGGACTGAAGCTCAATGTCAAGAAGACAAAGATTCTCACCACTGGACCAATTGGCAGCATCAGGATGGATGGCGAAGAGATTGAGATTGTTCACAGCTTCAGTTTGCTCGGCTCCACAGTCACCACTCTTGGCACCAGCAGTCAGGAAATCAAAAAGCGTATCGTGATGGGAAAGTCTGCTGTTAGGGACCTCTCTAAAGTACTCAGTAGCAACGGTGTCTCTCTGGAGACTAAGGTGCGCCTGATACAGGCCATGGTCTTTGCAATCACTTGTTATGCATCAGAGAGTTGGACAATGACTAGGGAGGACAGAAGGAGAGTTGATGCCTTTGAACTGTGGTGCTGGAGAAGAGTACTGAATGTACCATGGACTGCCAGAAAAACAAACAGATTCACCTTGGAGAGGATTAAAGCAAGCTACTCCTTGGAGGCAAGGATTCTGGGGCTTCGTCTGACATACTTTGGACATGTTGCCAGGAGGGACGGGTCCTTGGAGAGGGACATCATGCTTGGGAGGGTGGAGGGACGGCGCAGGAGGGGAAGACCCTCTATGAGATGGATTGATTCAGTGACTGGGGTAATCGGGATGGGTGTGAGAGAGGCAGTGCGGTTGGCGCAGGTTAGAGCAGGGTTTAGGGCTGTTGTGCATAGGGTCGCTAAGAGTCGCAAACGACTCGACGGCACATAACAACAACAACAACAACAGTGTAATAAAGCAGAATACAATAAAATTATGTATGCCCATAGAGAACTGTTTTACAACAGATACATTGAAAGGCAGATTTGAAAAGTACTACTTTTTCTTACAGTGTAGTATTTCATTGTGAATAATGAAAATACACCGCTGACATAAATTCCCACTATTAGCAAAATACTCAGGATCTCGTGCATTCTCCAACTGTTACACCTCTTATCTTTGCTCCTTCTCTTATTCATCTGAAGCACCATTTATGTCAGTATCCCAGTCAGGCCATATATATCAACAGGGTTTTAAATTTATATTTCAGTTAATCCTTTGAATTACTTAGAGACTTTGTTAAGCAGATCCTGAAGCACATTTTTACATTTTCATCTTCTAGGTCACAAGTAGGGTCAAAGAATTTGCATTTCTGACAAGTTTCAGGTACATGATGTACACAAAGGTTGTTGGACTACACTCCAAATAACCAGTTACTGCAAAGCCAATCGCAATTCCTGGCAACCTGGATTGTGTCAGAATAGAACTGGGTTTTATAGGGTTTTTCCTTTCAGAAGTGGATCACAAGGACCCCTTGATTTTTTTCAACAAGTTTTATTTATTCTATTCTCAAGACTAGAGTAATAGCTTATGCAATTTAAAAATTTCTATAACAGACATTGTTTATTATGGTGTGATATGGTGAAATCTCCAGATCTCCAGAACATATTTTCTTATTGCACGGAGATGCACATAAATTCTTCCAATTTGCAAATTGTCTAGTATATAATGAAACAATCTATTATTATGCTATCTTTATGAGCTAATTAAAAGGTCGGGGGTGTTTAAAACAAGTTTAACTATCCTCCTTTGAATTACTTGTTTGTATTCATATGGAAAGTTCAGAATAAGGTTTATGTTAGCATAACATAAAGAATGTACGGTCGTAGTTGTTAGGTGCCACTGAGTCAACTACAACTCACAGTGACCCTACAAACAATAGATCTGAATCCTTTCCCATCTTCACACTTCCTGACACATTAGAGCCCATGCAGTAGTCATCTGGTCGGAGGTCTTCCTCTTCTTCACTGACCTTCCACAATCAACACTCTTGGCACCAGAAGCCAGGAAATTAAAAAATGAACTGCACTGGCAAAGTCTGTTGTCAGGGACGTCTCCAGAGGACTGAAGAGCAATGATGTCAATCTGGAGACTATGGTGTGCCTGAATCATGCCACAGTCTCTATAATTACTTGCTATGAGTCAGAGAGCTGGACAATGACTAGGGATGACAGAAGGAGAATTGATGCCTTTGAGCTGTGGGAATGGAGAAGAGTATTGAAGATACCACAGACTGCTAGAAGAACAAACAAGTTTACCCTAGAAAGGGTTAAACCAGGCTGCTCTTTGGAGGCAAGGATTCTGAAGTTTCATCTGACATACTTTGGGCATGCTGCAAGGAGGGACCAGTCCTTGGAGAGGGACATCATGCTTGGGAGGGTGGAGCGACAGTGCAAGAGAGGAAGACCCTCAATGAGATGGACTGAATCAATCACTGGGGTAATGGGAGCAGATGTGTCAGAGATGATAATGTTGGGAGACAAGACAGAGCAGGATTTAGGGTGCTGTACACAGGATCGCTATGAGTTGCAAACAACTTGACAGCACATAACAACATATGTATGAAATGTTAAAGGTATAGTAACACATTATAGCATATAAAGTTGATCTTGTTGTTATGCCATCAAGTTAAGCAAGACTCACAGTAACCCTATGAACAACAAAGTTGAACCTTAACCTATCCGGTGCCATCCTCACCATTTCTAACATATGTGAGCCCTCGTCACTGTTTCAATCCATTTTACTGAGTGTCTTCCTCTCTTTTTGTGATCTTCCACCTTCAAGCATAATGTCCCTCCCCAAAAGAATAGCCTCTCATAGCAACATGCCCAAAGTACGTCAGATGAAGCTTCACCATCCTTGGACTCTTTTCTAACATCATAACTTAAAAAGGCATTAATTCTTAGTCTGTCTTCTTTTTCACAGTCCAGTTTGAAGATGCACAGCACGTTTTTAGAAGTATAAATTAAAACACATCTTAGTTTTCAAGAATTTCTTCAAGTTTAGAGAAAAATATTTCAAAGCTTCTACGGGGAAGAAACACTCAAGGTTTAATATTACTTTATATTTCAACTCGTATATTCTTTTCTCCAGAGACATTTGTATTATTTTATCTGGTGTCAAACAAAAAAGAAATTATTAAATGTTTGATATTTTCAAATTTGTTGTAATGTCTATTAAAAAAGCAAACCAAATCCCAACCTCCTTTTTTAGTAACAATTTTAACAATATAAAACCAACCTATCAAAGTAGGTAAAAACACACATTATTTAAAGAAATTAGTCCAATGCAGCTTTACCTCCAAAACAAAAGCATCTTTTTTTCCATGTGAAAGGTCTAATTCTGTAACTTCATCAGAGCTTTCTGATTGAGATCGTAAAAGTCTTGAGCGTTGCCTTGGTTCTGGGATAGGAGATCCTATAATCTCTTCTGACATCTCCTAAAAAAAAAAAAAAAATTAAAAAAGAAAAAATATATATATAATTAATTGCTTTATTAGAAGACTGTTATTTTTCTATCTGGCTTTAATTTCTTCTTTAAAATCTGACATCTTGGTGGGGGACATAAGACAATTGAGTGTAATGGTGTAAAATTTGTAAATTATATCCCAAGATGTCTATCTTTAGGTATTTTAATGACCAATAAAACAGTCTGCAACAATAGCCTGTTGATACACCAAGCCAGAAATTTATAAATATCTCAGATCTTAAAGTAACACTGACATCTAGTGTATACAGAGGATGTCACAATGAGAAGGGAATTGGTAATTTTTCTTGCTCAGAAAGTCATCATTCTATGGATATTTCTAGTGAGTTCTGGTGGTCAACTGGTAGGAACTGTGATACCAACTTTAATCCATGAAGTTCAAATCTATCAGCTGCTCTGAGAGAGAGAAAGATGGGTAATCTCCCTCATGTCATGTACTGCCTTAGAAAACCAGCTGGTGAATCAGTTATGAGTCAGTTGGGACTTGACAGCACTTAACAACAACATGGGTATTTCCATCATCTCATTTCAGTCCTTAGAGGCTGTGTTTCTAAATAATATTCTAACCTGTTATGTCTTTTCTGATAGGCAATTTTTGCAAAGTTTTACATAGATGAATGTGATAGAATATGCATATGCATGTATGTGTGTTTGTGTATATACACATGTACATGTTTGAGAGAGAAAAAGTAAACACAGATAAGGTAAGTAATAAAATAGGGAATGGACACAGGAGGTGACACAAGTAAATGGGAAAGTTAAAATCTTGAAACCAGATAAGAAGAAAAGGCCTCCTTAAAAAAGCACATACTTAGGGAGCTCTGGTGGCCTAGTGGCAAGAAGCTGCACTGTAATCCCAGAGGTATGCAGTTTGAACCCCCAGATGCTCTGCTGGAGAAGGAGGGACAATCTCCTTCTGTACCAGTCAGATCCGATTTGACAGTACACACACAAACAATAATAACATATTTTTTTTAAATGCACATACTTTATGTAAAGATGTAAACATAGACAAGAGGAGTGATTCACTTAATCTAAATCATGAACAAACAATTCTTATATCCAAACTGAGAGAACTTAAAAATAAGCCCAAACAATATATGATGCATTCTCAAAATAGATTTGTTTTACTTACCGGAGGATTGATTTCATACAACTCTTTGTTCTTAGCAATTGTATCATTTATCTTCTTTTGCATATGAGATATATGCTGTTCATAGGAGCCGTCATTGGGTGTTTTCCCAGCAATCTGAATACCACCAGGTGTTGGTAAAGCTGCTAAATACACACCTGTTGCAGACTTCAAATAATAAAAAGAAAAAGATCAGGATGAAAAAGAAGAAACAAAGGACAATGATCCATTGCTGTGCTGTAGGAAGACGTCCAAGTACTACAGGAAGATAATGTACAACATACTTCAGAAAAACAAACAAAACTGTAACATGTAACAGTGGTTGGTTGTTTCTAGGGAATACCCAGAATTGGTGAATAACAGGAGTGAGAGGGAGAACTTAATTTTTACTACATATCCAACTACAGTTTAAAAATATTTACCTTTTGATTATGAAGTGAGATAGCTTATAAATAAGCTTCTTGATGGTATCAAGAAAAATTGGTTTTTCTATCCATTGGGTTAGCCCCTCTTGGGGGCATGGTCTCCAGTTACCTTAACTACAGAAATGTGGTCTTGTAAATTATCAGTAACTTGTGAGACCAATAAAAGAGAGTGCTTCTCACACTTTGAGAGAAGGTGGTGGAAAGAGGGTGATGAGACTGTGGTACTGCTGTGAAGAGACTGTAGCAAGGTTTAACCATAGGACCCTGGAGATAGAGCCACAGTTAAATGTTTTGCTTGCTGGATGACTGAAAGAAAAGCTGTCTTAAAATTGCTCTAAGACAAAGTTTGCTGGATGACTGAGGAAACTAGAGGTTTATTTGTGCTGCTGAACTGAACCTAGACTTTCACTTGTTGACTGAGAAAATGAACTCATTGAGACAAGTGTCCTTCTGTTAATCTGGCTTGGGACTGCTGGGCTAAACCTTGACTTGTACTATATGATATTCTTTGCCTCCCCAATCTATTTCCCTAAAAACCTTACAACTGTGAGTCAATGTGCAATGAACATTGGACCCAATGATTCATAGAAATAGGTGCCAGAGCATGTGGGATGGCATGTCTGACCATATAGCTGACCATGTTTGAATGGCACTGATGGGACAGTTCCTCTTTACGAGGCATGTAGAAGTCAGCTCAGTCATTCCGAAGCTGTTTCTATTCCTTATATTAATATTGAAAAACTATTACAGAAAATCCAGAACAAGAGAAAATTCTTAAATATACATGTGTACATTTATGTTTTAAAATGCTAAGTAACAAAAAAAGCATAAACAGCAAATTTCTAACATTTCTAACATTGGGGAAGACAAAAAAAATCATTTCAACTTTGGATACCTTCTGTATTTTGAACTGTTTGAACTGCACACTTCAAATGCTATTATCTTCACTTCATAAAGTAATTAACTGCAAAGTTGTCTAAATCTATTCTAAAAGAACTCCTAACACTCTATGGTGAAGATAGCCTGGTAGAGAAAATTGAACCCCAAGAGCCCTCTCCTTCCTGGTTTATTCACTAGTATTTATCACTACCTCCAGGGCACTGCCTCTGATGCCTAGCTACAGAACTCCCACCATGCCTCAGGAAGCCGCAGAACATCTATAGCACTGTCTCAGCATTCATTAGCTAGGTAACAGCCCCAAATGACTGAAAACTGAGACTCTGGAACCAGAGTAAAGTCAGTACTAAAATCAGGTTCCAGCACCAGTAACCGTATCATCTTGGACAAGCCTCAATACAGCAGAGAATCCATTTTTCCCTCTTATAAAATGAAGGCAACATTACATACATTCCCTCTGGAATACCAGAGTGCCTTGTTAACTGGTAGGCCTCATTCAAAGGTAACTACCAGGAAATTTACATGGTGAAATTTAAGTGCACAAGATAAAAAGTAGAATAAAGAATCAAACGTCAAAACTGCTGTAGTAAGTACCACTACTGACTAAAAAAGGAAACTATTAGTAAGACTCAGAAAAGGCAATATGTAAGATATGCTGTGAAAAATTAAACTGAAGATGGAACATAGTTTCACAGAGCTCAATCATCAAAAGGATTTTGTAAAGTCAGCGCAACATTGTTAAACCTCTAAATAAAAATGAAATTCTTATTTTGCGTGGATTCTCATTATTCATTACAATACTGAACCAAGTTCAGATGCCACATTTATGTAATGCCCTTGCTGAGATATGAGTTTTTAGACCACTGAATTAAAATTCCCGCTAGAAAAAAATGATAATGAATAATCAACCAATCATCAAAACATAATTATCTCTTATGTTTATGTATTTGCTCTAACAGAAAGAACAGCTGCATTAGAAAACAATTTAATAATTTTCCTACAAATGCAAAGAAAAAAAAATTCAAGTTCCCTACTTTATAAAATTTCTTAAAATTAAAATACTATGTATGCTTCAGAAAGATGGTGATCACATTGGAAAACTATCAGCTATTCAGTTAAAATTCTGATTCACTCAATGACTACAAAAGGATATTTCCATAAATACAGCTGAGTAAGAGACTGTTCAGATTCCATATGATCAATACATATTTTTCAGATACCTAGTTTTCTGGGTCTGCAGTACAAGGATTTAATATGGTCTTTCCATCAATAGTCTCTGCTTGGTGATGAAGTATTTACTGTTTTAAGGAAATAGGACTTAGGTGGGATACAAGTTTATTTCTTAGAAATAGGAACACTGGAGCATATGGAAGTTAAATGCTCTTAGGACCCTGACTCTCCTGAGACATGGCATCTAGTTGCATTGCAATTTACAGTCTGCAGGATCCTGGCCTTTTGCTCATAATTCTCTGTAACACTGGCCTGCATAATCCACAGGCAGGTGAGCCATTTCCCTGATGCATTTTAAGTTTTGCTGGGCTTCCAACAAATCAAAGAAACCAAATAACAGACAGGAGTTGGGGAACTCAATGGAGGAGAAACAGTTAATGTTGGAAATGATGGAGTGGTACACAGATTAAACACTCTGACTTTTAGTAACTAATCTGATATTAATCTTAGTAGCACCTCGAGCAATGGGGGTAGATGTGTCGGAATCAGTGAGACTGGCTCAGGACAGAGCAGGTTTCACACCTGCTGTACATAGGATCACTATGGGTTGCAGGTGACTTGATGGCACATAACAACAACAAAACGGATTGCAATGACAGTGTCCTATGCCATGTATAAAGGCAACCCAGATGTTCTGAGTGACACTGTTTTAAATAGAATACATTTTCTAACTGGACAAAGCAAAAAGAAGTGAAGACAGACTTTTTTTACTATCTCATGTTTGAGCAGCACTTAAAATGTATATTGTACTTGTGCAATCTACTACTAGCTACAGATACACATTTTTGTTAATGTGTGTCAAACAGCAGGCATTGCTTTACATGTTTTATCCTACTGTCTCCAGTAAAACTGAAAATTACTTTAGTATAGTGGCTTTCAAACAACGATGACGGACAGTGGCACTGTCTGAACAGATTTAGTTGTTACAATTAGGGGATACTATTGTTGTTAGATGCTGTCAAGCTGAGCATGGACCACAGCTGCCCTATGAGCAATAGATCTGAGCCCAATCCTATCATATGCCACCCTTGTACTTCCTGACACACTTGAGCCCATTGCAGCAGTCACTGTGTCAATACACTGGTCTTTGTCTCTTTTACCGGCCCTTCACCTTTCCAAGAAACAGTCTCTCCTAGCAACATGCCCGAAGTATGTGAGATTAAGCTTTATCATCTTTGCCTCCAAAAAACACTCTAACTGGACTTTCTCCAAGACATGTTTGCTTGTTCTTTTGGCAGTCTATAGGGTATTCAGTACTCCTCTCTAATACCATAGCTCAAAGGCATCAATTCTTCTTCTGTTATCCTTATTCACTGTACAGTTCTCAGCAGCACAGCAAGTGACTGAAAAGAATATGGCCTGAATAAGACACATCTTAGTCCTCAAACTGACATCATTGCTCTTCAATAATTTGGAGAGGTTCCTAACCGCTGACTTTCTTAGTACAAGACTACTCGTGATCTCTTGACTCCTAGTATTAAGGTGTTGATTGTGGATCCAAGTAAGAAAAAGTTGTTGACAGTTTCAATCTTTTCTCCATCCATCATAATATTTGCCTATCAATCCTGAGATAAGAATTTTTTGTTTTCTTGATATTGAGATGCAGTTCATATTGAAGGCTGTATTCAAGTGCTTTCAAGGCCTCCTCATTTTGAGCAAGAAAAGGTGTATCATATGCATAACACAGATTATTGATGAGTCTTCCTCCAATCTTAATACCACATTCTTTATAGAGTTCAGCTTCTTAAATAATTTGCTCAGCATACACCCTGGATTGGTATATAGAAAGGATATAACCCTAACACACACCTTAATTTAAAATCATGTAGCACTCCCTTCTGTGTTCACACAATAATCTCTTGGTCAAGCTATAGGTTTTGCATGAGCACAATTAAATGTTCTGGGATTTACACTCTGCTCAATGTTAGCCATAATTTATTATGATCCACAGAGTCAAATGCCTTTGCATAGTAAATAAAAAGCATAAACAGACATTCTGCTGGTATTTTTTACATTCAGCCAGAATCCAGCTGACATCAACAATGACATCCCTGGTTCCACAGCTTCTTCTAATTCCTGTTTGCACTTCTGGCAATTCTCTATCTATGTACTATTGCAGCTGTTTATGTATGATCTTCAGCAATATTTTGCTTGCATGTAATATTAATTTCCACATTCTGTTGGATAACCTTTCCTGGGAACGGGAACAAATATGAAGCTCCTCCAATCAGTTGGCCAGACAGTTAACCTGCAAATTTCCTAGCATAGACTGCTGAGTGCATCCAGGACTGCATCTGTTAGTTGAAACATGTCAAATGGTAATCTCATTGATCTCTAGGGTCTTATTTTCTTGTCAATGCCTTCAGGACAGTTTCAACTTCTTTATTCATTACCACTGGCTCTTGTTCATATGGTCATTCTGAAATTTTTCTGTGTCAATTTTTTTTTATACAGTGACTGCAGTAGTCCCTTCAGCTGCTTTGGGAGCTTCCTGAATCATTCAATATATTGCCCATACTATTCATCAACATTGCAACTCAAGGCTTAACCTTGTTTTTCATTTCTCTTAGTTTGAGAAATTCCAAGGAAGTTCTTCCCTTCTTACTCTCCAACTACAATTCTCTGCACATTCCATTATACTACTTTGCTTTGTCTTCTTGAGCTGCTCTTTCAAATTTTCTGTTCAGCTCTTTTACTTCAGCATCACCTCCCTTTGTCTTCCCAATGTTCTAGTGCAATTTTCAGAGTCTCTTCTGAGAGGGTTTCAGTTTTTTATTTTTCCTGTCTTTGTAATAACCTTTTGCTCTTTTCAAGGATGATATCCTTGATGTGATCTTATAACTCATCTGTTTTTCAATCAGTGGTATTCAATGCTTCAAAACGATATTTAAATTCAAATGGGAGAGACTCAAGATCATATTTTGGTTCTCTGGGACTTGTTTTTATTTTCTTCAGCCTCAATTTGAACTTGCACACGAGTAATTAGCTCCAAACCTGGTTTTGACTGCTGATATTGAGCTTCTCCAATGATCCTTCAACATATGTAATCACTCTGATTCTTACGCAGTTTATTATGTAAGTTCCATATGTCAAGTTGCTGTTTGTGTTTTTTAAAAACGTATTTGCAATGATTGTATCCCTGAACATAGAAAACTTTGGTTATTCTTGTTTCAACCTCATTTCTATCAATAGCCCTTTGTCCTCAAGAGCTGCAAGGCTCAAATCAAAGATTCAGCAGAGACTTCCATGTTACCTTAATATTCACATCTGAGACTTAATCTTACGTGTCACCCATGAGTCTCAGCTAGGAACATTCATCCAGCAGCATATCCTGCCAGGTCTATGCAGGCTTCAATCAGATATGGTAACATGATATTTGCATGCCTGACTTGCTATTAAAGGTGGTTGTTGTTATGTGCCACAAAGTCACCTATAACACATGATGCGTGAAGCCTCCCCTATCCTGAACCAGTCTCACTGACTTCTACACATTTAACCCCAAAGCCCCAGTTACTGATCAATCCATCTCATCCAGAATCTTCCTCTCTTGCTCTGTCCCTCCACTCTTCCAAGCATGATGTCCTTCTCCAAGGACTGATCCTCTCTAGGCCACATGCCCAAAGTTTGTGATACAAGAGCTTCAAAATCCCAACCTCCAAGGAGAAACTTGGTTTCACAATATCCAAGTCAGACTTATTTTTTTTCTTGACGGTTCATGGTATAGATGAGATTCTTTTCCAGCACATCTCAAAGGCTTCTGTCTTCCTTAGATATTATATAGCTCTCTAAAGCAAAGCAAATAACTGACACTGTTGCTTCTCAGTACTCTATAGAGGTCAGTGTCAGCAGATTTTCCCAGTGCAATTCATCTTTTGATTTCCTGGCTGCTGGTGCCAAGAGTTTTGACTGTGGAGCTGAGCAAGCTGTATGTCTCCATCTATCATGGCGCTGCCAATTGGCCCAGTGGTGAGAATCTTTGTTCTTTTGATGTTCATACTGCTATTAGAGGTACAATACTAATTTGTCAGTTTGTTGTTTTGGGGGAATTCATTGTACAGCACTTATCTACCAGTTTGTAACTTTTGGGTTGCTGTGATGCTGAAAGCTGTGCCACCAGTGTGTCAAATGCCACTAGGGTCAAATGCCACCATGATGGGCAGGTTTTAGTAGAGCTCCCAGATTAAGACAGACTAGGATTGGCCACCCACTTCTTAAATAGTAGGACTCTGAAAACCTTAAGAACAGCTGAGGAAGCTATAATATTAGAGGTAGAGTCCAGACTGGAAGTCAATCAAAATGAGGAAAAACAGCGGCAAGCATTCTTTAATAATTAGAACATGGAAAGTATGACATGAATACTGTTAGTTAGCTGTTATGAAAAAATGAAGTAGACTGCACAGACAGTGATATTCTAGGCAGTAGTGAGATGAGATAGACTAGCTTGGCCACTTTGAGTCAAACATGATAATACTATGCTGGGAATAAACAGAAGAATGGTGTTAAATTCTTAAAAAGACAATTTCAAGGTCCATCCTAAAGTACAATGTTGTAAATGATAGGAAGACCTGTTAATACAACTATCACTCAAATACACGTTCCTACAGCTAACGCCAAAGAGGAGGAAATGGAACATATTTACTAAATCTTGCAGTCCAAAATTGACTAAACATGCTCTCAAGATGCAGTGACAGTAACTAGTGACTGGAATGCAAAAATCTAAAACAAGGAAGAAGGAATGGTAGTTCGGAATACTACTAAGATCTAGGAAGTAGAGCCCCAGATGCTGCTGAACATCCTATAGGTCCCACAACAGAGTCGGCAAACCAAAAACGTCAATGGTTCCAAGAGGGAGAAAGTTTGTTTTAGCATGTTCATACAGAAGAATGCTGGCCCTCTTACTAATTAAGCTAGACATGGTAGTTATTCGAAACCTGATGAAGTCCCTTGAAAAACATGAGTACTTGTTAATAGATTTTTCACTTCTTAAAATGTTGCCAATCCTTAAAAAGACTTCCTGACAGTTTCTGAAGATAAATCTTTTGTTTAAAAAAAAACAAAACAAAACACAACATAAAAACCTCTTTGAGCCACAGCCATATATATATGTAATCAGCTATAACTATAAAAATCACCAAAAAAGTACACTTACCGCTAAGCCCATCAACATATTTTCACCCACTGAGATTTGAATTCTCAGACCAAACAAAGCATTCATTCCTTTGAGTTTTAGTTTATTCATTAGCTGAGTATGCACTTCATATTCCATGAATGGCAACAAATTACTGATAGCTGTAGCATTTGCTTCTGCCTGTGCTTTCTTTTTTAAACGACATAACCTGTTAAGATAAAATAATTAGTGGACAATATTCAGTGTGGCATATTAGGAAATTTCAAAAATTTTCTAAAGGCAGGCTTGGCTCTACCATCAACACTCTTGGTACAAATAGCCAGGAAATGAAAAGACTAATTGCATTGGGAAAGTCTGCTGTCAGAGACCTCTTCAAAGTACTGAAGAGCAATGATGTCATTCTGGAGACTAACGTGCACCTGATACAGGCCACAGTCTTTGCAATTACTTGCTATGAGTCAGAAAGCTGGACAATGACTAGCGACGATAGGAGAACAATTGATATCTCTGAGCTGTGGTGTTGGAGAGAGTACTAAATATACCATGGACTGCTAGGAGAACAAACAGGTTTGTCCTGATGTTGTTGTTATGTGCCGTCGAGTCGTTTGCAACTCATAGCGACCCTATGCACAACAGCCGTAAACCCTGCTCTGTCCTGCGCCAACCGCATTGCCTCTGACACACCCATCCTGATTACCACAGTCACTGAATCAATCCATCTCATAGAGGGTCTTCCCCTCCTGCGCCGTCCCTCCACCCTCCCAAGCATGATGTCCCTCTCCAAGGACCTCCTGGCAACATGTCCAAAGTATGTCAGACGAAGCCCCAGAATCCTTGCCTCCAAGGAGTAGCTTGCTTTAACCCTCTCCAAGATGAATCTGTTTGTTTTCCTGGCAGTCCATGGTACATTCAGTACTCTTCTCCAGCACCACAGCTCAAAGGCATCAACTCTCCTTCTGTCCTCTCTAGTCATTGTTCAACTCTCTGATGCATAACAAGCAATTGCAAAGACCATGGCCTGTATCAGGCGCACCTTAGTCTCCAGAGAGACACCGTTGCTCTTGAGTATTTTAGAGAGGTCCCTAACAGCAGACTTTCCCATCGCGATACGCTTTTTGATTTCCTGACTGCTGGTGCCAAGAGTGTTGACTGTGGAGCCGAGCAAACTGAAGCTGTGAACAATCTCAATCTCTTCACCATCCATCCTGACGCTGCCAATTGGTCCAGTGGTGAGAATCTTTGTCTTCTTGACATTGAGCCTCAGTCCATACTGAAGGCTGCAGTCCTTGACCCTTTGCAGCAAGTGCATGAGGTCCTCCTCAGTTTCAGCAAGCAGGGTTGTGTCATCTGCATAACGCAGATTGTTAATAGATCTTCCACCAATCCTGATGCCACAATTCTCCTCATAGAGCCCAGCCTCTCGAATAATCTGCTCTGCATACATGTTGAAAAGGTATGGAGACAGGATGCATCCCTGCGTACACCCTTCCCAATTTTGAACCATGCAGTGTTACCCTGCTCTGTTCTGACTACTGCCTCTTGGTCCAAGTATAGGTTTCGCATTAGCACAATTAAATGTTCTGGGATTCCCATTCTTCTCAGAGTCAGCCACCGTTTGTTATGATCCACACAGTCAAATGCCTTTGCATAATCAATGAAACACAGATAGACATTCTTCTGGTATTCTCTGCTTTCAGCCAAGATCCATCTAACATCAGCAACAATATCCCCAGTACCACGACCCCTTCTAAACCCAGCCTGGAGAAGGTAAAGCCAGTCTGCTCCTTGGAGGCAAGGATTCTGAAGCTTCATCTGACATACTTTGGATATGCTGCAAGAAGGGACCAGTCCTTGGAAAGAGATGTCATGCTTAGGAGGGTGGAGGGACAGCACAAGAGAGGAAGACGCTTGATGAGATGGACTGATTCAGTGACTTGGGTAATGGAGGTAGGTGTATCAGAGACAGTAAGATTGGCACAGGATAGATTGGCAAGGCTTAGGGCTCTTGTATATAGGGTTGCTATGAGTCGCAGGTAACTTGATGGCACATAACAACAAGACTTGAGTTTAATGTATTTGCTGTGAAAGGGCAGAAATTAAAATAACCTATCTCTTTTGTCACTGTGTAACCTTTCACGGAAGGTCATTATTTAAACAAACAAAAGTGAAAAAAACCTCAAATCCTAAAAAAAATGAAATAAATACATTAGTACTAGAATACTAAAGAATATAATTTAAAATCTTAGTTTCATAACTGCATGTAAGGACAGTGGTATAAAATCATAACACAGTATTGGGGAAAAAAGAGGTTGCTTGAGCAATTCTATGTGCGAAGCACTCTTCTACTAATGAGCACTCATCTGTGAACCAACCTCAAAGTCCTGCCCTCACAGTTACATTCCAATGGAGTTAGGTGGGAGTAAATAAAAAAACAAAGCAATCTGGCCTCATTCAAGAGTCGGGTGCCTTTAGAAAATAAAGTAGACAGAAAAAAACTAAACAGAAGTGATCATGGTGGAGATGGTAGCTGAAACCTAAAGGACAAAGAAACCTAAAGGAGCCGGGAGAGTTGTGGTAAAAACATTTAAGAAATAAGCTGGCAAAGTAGAAGACCTAAGACAATGTTGCTGGTAAAGCAACAAGCACAAAGGTAAGAGTAATACAGATGAAGTTACAGACATAGACAGGGGTGTGGTCATGCTAAAGTGCTTATTGATTATAGTAAAGAGTTTTATTTTATTTGACCAGCAATAAGAAATCCTAGATAGGTTTTAAATAATAACAGAATTCCACTCATATTCTAGGACATCATTTCATCACTACCCAGAGGAAGGGTGGACCACAAAATGAGGACACGGCAACAGGACGGTGAACAGTAAAAGGTATGGAGAAATAAGAGCATAAGCAGTCTGAAGTCACAGGAGTTTCAACAAGGATAAAATTATCAACAGTGTTGGCTACTGTTGAGGTATAAAGATGAGGACAGAAATGTTCAATGGCCCTGGTACCCTGACAGTTGCTGGAAAATGAAACACAATTATAACCATTTCCTGTATATGTGAAACAATTAAGCATTTCCTCTTCAAATGCATTTTAAATGAAACTCTTAACACTTAAAAGAAGACATTAAAGAAAGATCACAATTTCTGTTCTTTAAAAGAGCAGTCAATGTAAAAATACATAACATTTAAAGCTGATTGGCTATACTGATTTAGCTTCTTTCCCTATTGAAGGTCATTTAATAACCATTACAATAATTGTCATTTATACAGAATTGAAACATTAAAAAATGTTTCATTTAAAAATGTTGTACACAACTCATTTGAGTTTTATTAAAAGGGTATTTCTTCTTTCAATTCTTTATGAGACAATGTAAAGTTCAGATAGAATGACCTGTCCAGGATCATAGGACAGAAGTAGATATTTGATTATAAATAAATTTTACTTCATACTTTTTCTGTGACATCAACACTGGTTTCATAAACATACCTTGCTTGAATAAGACAGCCTTTGCCAATAACTGCTGCATCTGTTGGGAGATCTATAGTAGTAAAAAGAACATCAGGAACTTTTTGTTTCCTGCAGTTATAGCAATATGTCAGATGAGCTGGAAACGGCATATTTAATTCATCATATGGTATATGACAAAAACCACAACCTGCAGGCAAATTTTCTTCTATCCTGTGTGTGTATATATATATATATATATATATATATATATATATTAGGAAAAAGAATAAGGTATTCTTAAAATATCTGTATTTTTTCAAAGGTAATATATATAAATATTATACAAAACTTTACATTTAGACTCTAAGAGGGCCACCATGATGATTAGTAAGAATTACAAACGCCCATGAAATCAGAACCATACTTTTTCCCATGAGAGAAAAAGGCTATAAAATCACAAAGTCATTTGTACCAGTTCATATAACTGATTATTTCACCACCAAACAAAAAAATATTATTATCACAAAGCTTCATCTACATGAAAGTTTCAAATGTTTGAAGAATCATTGCTGAAAGTACAAAACATTAAAACTAATAGCTGGATAATAAAGGAGGCATTTTCCTACAGCTGACAAATTTAAAAGTAGTAATATTACCTAAAAAGCCTAAGAATATTTTTTCAAAACAACACAATTTGAAATCATAAACTAATGTTAAATACACAAACATGCATATTACAAATGTATGAGAAAAACAAATTAAAAGAGTACATGTCAAGTATTCAAATTATCAGTGTTTTACTATTTCTGAAATAAATACCTTTATGGTTCATAAACAAATTACCATCACACATAAATTCCTACTTATAAACAACCATGCATTATAAAATATTTGCTGCAATATGTTGCTTATTAATTCATTTTTAAAAAATTAAGGGTTTTCCCTAGCCACCTTCTTCACTAACTTGAGGTAATCAGAACAAGAATGGAGGCAGAAGGAAGTTCCTGGGAGAATACAGTTTCACCCAACCACCATGGAGTAATCTTGGAAGCTGTGGGTTTTCAAAATCCCCTATTTTAAATCAACTCTTTAAAAAAAAATCAACTCTTTAGAAGCTGAATCTTGGCAAGCTGACAAATTAGAAGGGGAAAAGAAAATTCACACTGTAGCTACTATAATACAATCTTTCTGCAGATTACTCCCCCCACCAAATTCTTAAAACAATCTTCTAAATCAAATTAAGTTATTCTTAGATATTATCATTTTACTCTTGAGATGGCAAGTAACAAATCTAAAGTGAGTTCTGCGACCCTGAGTTAGTTAACTTCTCAGCCTCACCTAGAAAAACTGAGTAATATCTACTTAAGAAAGATAAAGGCTATTTTTTTGCTTTCTACTTTAATATATTCTTAATTCATCGGTTCAGAAACCAAAAAGTCAAATAAGCATATTATGAGTAAAGAGTTATTATGATTTATATTACCCAAATAGGTTTTGGTAAACTAGTGGTTTTATACATTTAGTCCTTCTATTTGTAAAAAGTACTTCTGACACTTACTTAAAAGCCAGAAGTTTAAAGGGACTGACTTATAATTAAACAAGTCAAAAGAGCAAGCTCATTTTATATAATTTCTTCATTTTCACATATATTAAAACTTATCTTTCACTTTAATGAAGCTTTTTATTTTGTACAACATACTGCTTAACAATTCTTTTAAGTTTTTTTTTACTTAACAATTTTTTAAATTAAGAGTTTTCCTTATAAAAATTGTTTGATGCCCCTTTTCAACGTGGAGAATACCAGAAAAAGAAAAGAAAAATAAAATTAAAAAGTCTCTCTAAACTGTTACAAATTAAAAGACCATACACACTTTAAAGTTCCCATTCGGTAGCTGAATGTGTGACAAATTAGTCAAGGATTTAGAAACAGCATCTACACTAGAGTACAGAATCCAATACCTCTTTGTAGCTTTATAATTCAATAAAATTAGTAAAGTGTTTGGTCTTGATTTCTACTCTATACCACTAGAACCCACCCTCACAGAGTAGAGCTATTCTGGTTTTAAGAAAAGTCAATCTCTCTTCACTTCCCCTACAGAAAAGAAAGCCAGGCTGCCAAGACAACCTCTGTTCCAAACAGCCCTCCACGGTGCCATCCTGCAGAAATCTAGGGTTCAGTACAGCCGCTGTCCCAGATGCTGACAAAATACAGACCTCTTCACTAGGAAAGAAAGAACACAAACAAGTCAACATTTCAGATATCATGTTAAATTAGAAAATGTTAAATATCCAAATGGTAATAAGAGTGATAACTGAAATCTAACTTATACTCCAAACTAAATCACATAATTCTTTCTAAATATAGGATAGGCAATACAAGTAATGAAGTTTTATTAAAATAGAGGCCAAGAATTCTTTACTGTCTAAAATTAATTTTTAAAAAATAGAAATAACCATTTCCTTTAAAATATTTTGAGGTTAAGACTGGAATGTTTTTACAATATAAAAAGCAACAACCTACATACTACTGTATATATCAATTCTGTCAAAATACTTAAAGCATTTATAATTTTATTTAAATTTTTCTAAAAGTATAACTCTGTTTCTATATTGCTAGATTTAAATAGCATAACATTATCTAAAAGTAATATAGTAGTCAAACAACTAAAAAGAGCGTAAATTACATTAATCACAAGTGTTAAAAAACTCATTTTTACATAATCCTTTTAAAAAGAAAACCTCTTTATTACATATCTCTAACTGGAAAACTATAATGTTAAATAATCAATATAATACTGAATGAAGCTACCCAAAGAAAATGTAAAAAGTAGCCTGGAGATAAAAAGCTGCATAGAAGATAAATGGAAGATCAAAAAAGACATTGGAATTATAAACATATAGAAGGAGATGAGGCTGTAAAGCCAAGTGAGCAGAGAGAGTATCAGAAATCAACACAGAACTATTTCAAGAACACGGAGCTATTGATGAGTTTGGAATCATGGAGTTTACCAGAATAGAACCTGAGAAGTTCAATCTGTTATCAATGGGTAGGACGGGTTAGGACAAGGAAAAAGTTAAAGATTAGATTTTTTTTTTTTTTTGGAGAAATATTCAGTTAAACCATTATGTTGGTTGTTTTTTTTTTTTCAATCATATTCAGAAAATCTAATATGTTGACTTGCTTGTTGAGTCTTTGCCAGTCTGATCTTTTCAGCTTTGGTGATTAACTTCTCAGTGCCTCTTTTCTTTTCTCGAGGTTGGTTCAACTTGGCCTGCCTGTCTACCAAAATCTTCTGCCAATAATACCTCTGCTCGTGATCACCAGAAAGGATCTCGAGTTGCCAGCTGTGCTTCTTTTTAATTTCTGAATGTGCATTTATTACTGCTTGAGCATCCTCTGGAATCTTAAATCTTACATGACATTCTGTATCTCCTTCAAGTAAATCAACATAAACCACTTCTGAGATTGCTGCTAAAGTATCCCTGATTTGTTTCCTGCCAGGTAGAGACTCTGTGCTAACTATCTTCACAATCACTCCGCTCACAAATTGTGGTCCCATCGAATTAACCTCCTGGGGGCGACATTCTTCACTGTTAGCTTTCTCATTTTTCGTTCCAGATTTATTAGATTCACTAAGGTCTGTTTCCATTTCAGACTCTGATTTTATTTGAGATATTGTTTTTTTTAAAGAAGCCATGCTGGCTTTTTGCAGTGCTAAGTACTCTCTTTTTAAATCCATCCATTCACACTTCGATAGAACTCTTAACGGTATAACCTCTTCTCCCATTTTATGCCGCTCCTTGTGTTTTTTCTTGTGCTTCCTTTTTGCTTTTAAGAGAGATCCATCTTTATCACCAGTAACCTTTTCCTCTTCGGTGGACACTTCTAAATCTTTGATTTCGTGGGAAACTTCTTTAGCTTCTTTAACACTTTGTTTTTGAGAAAGCTTTCTAACTTTAGATCTGGGAGCGGGGCATTCTGTGTTTGCAGAGATTCTCCTCTTTCTCTTAATGGTTCGAACTTCAGGTAAGCTGGACACTTCTGCCTTTTCCTTTTTTTTCTTCTTTTTGGTGGGAGGTTTTTGGGGTTCTGTTACATCTGCTTCCGACCCCTCAGATGTGGTGCCTGATCTTTTTAGTTTACAGGCGCTCTCGTTGTTTGTATCCATGTTTGTGTCTTCTTTAGCCTGGACAGTGTCTTCCTTTTTCACTCGGCATTTCTTCTTTTTTTTCTTTTTCTTCTCTTCAGGTACACTTAATGCTGGAATGGGTTTATTTTTTACAGTCTTTGGAAATATCCCTGGTTTCCTTGGTGCTTCTTCTGGTGGGTTATTAAGAAACTCAATTGCTTTTGCTGCTTGTTCTTTTGTTTCAAATTCCACAAAGGCAAATCCTTTTGGGTCTCCAGTAGATTTATAATGTGGGATGCTTATATAAACAACATTGCCACATTTTCCAAATACTCTTTCAATCCAGCTATGATTAACATTTTTTGGAAGTAATTCCACATACACAGTCCGCTCATCTTCATCTTTGGGTCTTTCACCTAGGGGCTTTCTCCTTCTGATCCTTGTGCCCTCTAAATCCACCTCAACCACAGCTGAGCTTTTCAATGCTCTGGCAATTAGTTTTCCATCTGTTGTCAATTTTTTCATTTTGTTAAATGATACCAGTAATGATATATCAACATATCCATCTCTAGATTTTTCTATTTGTTCCCGAAGAAATCGATCCTTGTGAAGATTAGCATCTCCAAACCAGAAGTCCACTTGCTTAGCAATATCAGCAAGCACCTGTTTAACTCGAGACCTCTTCTTTTTTTCTACATTTTTCTTCTTTTCTGTGCTTTCCTCTTCCATGGCCTTATCTTGATTGTTATTTTCTAAAGATTAGATTTTAATTTTATCTCCAGTCATGCTAAATCCACAAAACTGACTTGTTGGCCTGGAATGCTACCCATATGGCTCTTTGAATTCATGCTTATCCTTAAAGTCCAGTTCAAATATCATTTATATCATCTACACTTCTTTCCGAGTCGGAAACGACTCGATGGCACATAACAACAACAACAACAACAACAACACTTCTTTCCAGTCGTACTTGTAAATTTCAGCTCTCCAAGATTTCCAAGCATCCAAGGACACGTAAAAGGCATTACATGGTTATAATATCCCATTGTTGTTCTTGTTGTGTACCAGAGTTGGAACTGGCCTGCAACTGATTCTCCAGCTGTTCTCAGAGACGGTTAATTGCACAGGAGACTGCCTATCCATCTCCCGTGGAGCATATGGTGGACTTGAACTGTGTAGCTTCAGGATTTTAGCGCAGCTTCTTGCCCCTAGGCCACCAGAGCCCCGTAAAACATCCTGTTGTTGTTGTTGGGTGCCCGCGACTCATACTGACCCTGGGTAAAATAGCTCTGAACTCTGTCCTAATCCTGAGACAATCTTACTCCTTCCAACACAGCTGTCCCTATTACCCCAGTCACTGTGTCAATTAATCTCATTCTGGGTCTTCCTCTCCTCCACTGTCCCTCCAACTTTCCGACTATGATGATGTCCTTTTCCAAGGACTGGTCCCTTCTGGCCACATGCCCAAAGTATGTGAGCTAAAGCTTCAAATTCCTAGCCTCCACGGAGAAACTTGGTTTCACCCTCTCCAAGACAGACTTATTTGTTTTCTTGGAGGTCCATGGTATGTTCCAGACTCTTCTCTAGCACCACAACTCTAAGGCATCAATTCTTCTTTTACCATTCTTAGTCATTATGCAGCTCTCTGATGTATAGCAATTAATCGCAAAGACCAGAACCTGGATCAGGTGCACCTTAGTCTCTAAACCGACATCTTTGCACTTCAGCACTCAATGAAGATCTGACAGCAGATTTTCCCATTCCAATTCATCTTTTTATTTCCTGGCTGTTGGTTCCAACAGTGTTAACTACAGACCCAAGCAATCTGAAACTGCTGATTATCTCAATCTCTTCTCCATCTATCATGGTGCTGCCAAATGGCCCAGTGGTTAAGAATGAATTCTTGATGTAGAGCTTCAAACCATATTGAAGACCACAGCCCTTGACTTTCTGTAGAAAATGCTTTGGGTCCTCCTCAGTTTCAGTGAGCAAGGTTGTTTTATCTACATAGTGTAAGTCATTGATGAGTCTTCCTCCAGTCCTGATGCTGAATTCCTAATAATGACAACCTTCTCAAATTATCTGTTCTGCATATAGATTGTAAAGGTGTGGAGATAGAATGCATTCTTGACGCACTCCTTTCCTGCAGTGTTTCCTTGCTCTGTTCTGATTGCCTACCAATCCACATATAAGATTCGCATGAGCACAATCAGGTGTTCCAGGATTCCCATTCATCTCAAAGTTTCTAATGGGGTATTAATCAAACTGTGGCTAATATCTGATTAAGATCTGAATATAATGAGAAGAGCTATGTCTTTTCCAATTATATCCCTAGGACCTGAAGGTATATAACTCTATATCAAATATGAGGCAAGATTACCTACTGTGGACTAAGGCAAGGTAAGGATGACAAAGTTAGAAGTTAGTAAGAGCAAACTTTTATAGGAATAGAATGAAATGGTTCAATAATGTTCAATAATTACTCCATAAAGAAAAAGAAAGGGCTACAGAAGACAAACTATCACAGTTCTGGACATTTAATAACTGTAGACAGTTAATAAAGAATCCTTTGTTTCTAAGAATAATGACCCACACAAGAGCAGACCAGCTGGCAGTTAAGAATTACATGATAACAGAAGGTAAAAAGATAACAGAAGGTCAAAGGGTTTCCAGTGATAAAAACAAAAATGAAACTTTTTTTTTTAAATTTTTTTTTTTTTTAAATTTTTTGTGTGCGTGTACCGTCAAATCAGATCTGACTGGTACAGGAGATTGCCCCTCCTTCCCCAGCAGAGCATCTGGTGGATTCGAACCGTGCACCTCTGGGATTGTAGTTGCAGCTTCTTGCCACTAGGCCACCAGAGCTCCCCTAAAAATGAAACTTTTGAGGAAACTAAAAGTGGATTCAAGAATATGAGAAGAGCAGCAAGTAAAATCAGAAATTAAGAGACAAACTGGGCAAAGTCTTAGTTTAGACAACAGAAAAGAATCACCTTTACTCATTTATATACATTAACAACTAGAATGGGTGGGGAAACATTATGATGAGTTTCAAATTTTAAAAAAGAACAATTTCTAGCAATAATGATGTTCCAAATAAGGCTGAAAGTCAAGTGGGGAGAAAACAAAAAATAACCCTATGACTGGAGGATCTATAATTAAAAAGATAGCAAAACATTTTAAAAGGTAGAAAAATGTGTTGGAAGTAGATAATGCTGAAGAATGGAATGGAATAGACTTCAAAGAAGAGCAAATTCAGACAGACAGGAGAAAAAAGCATTAAGAATTTCTTCAGGTAGAGTTAGCAAAAGTTGGCAAGAGAAAGTTCCATTAGCATTAATAGCAAAAGACAGAACAAGTTCACAAATAAAATTTAAAGACCGATTTACAATGGATCAGGGATTTCAAAGGTCCAAGTAGAGTAACTTAGTAAGGTTACAAGCTGAATAAAGTAAAACTAATGCTAATACATCAATCCATCTCATCTGGGGTCTTCCTCTCCTGCATTGTCCTTTCACCCTTCCGATCATTACGCCTTTCTCCAAGGACCACTCTCTCCTGACCATATGTCCAAAGCAAGAGAGGGAAAGCCTCAAAATCCAAGCCGCCAAAGAGAGACCTGGTTTCACCCTCTTCAAGACAGACCTGTTTGCTTTCTTGGCAGTCCACGGTATCTTCAAGACTCTTCTCCAGCACCACAAATCAAAGGCATCTATTCTTCTTCTGTCATCCCTAGTCATTGTCCAACTCTCTGAAGCATAACAAGTAATTGTGAAGACCCTGGCCTGGATCAGGCACACCTTTGTACCTATATTGATATCATTGCTCTTCAGCACTCTGGAGAGGTCCATAAAAGCAGATTTTCCCAAAGCAATTTATCTTTTGATTTCCTGACTGCTGGTGCTAAGAGCGTTTGTTGACTGTGGATCTGAGCAAGCTATAATTGCTAACAACCTCAATCTCGCCACCACCTATAATGGTACTCCCAGCTGGTTGGGGTTGGTGTGTCGGAATTAGTTAGAATGGCTTGGGACAGGAAAGGGTTCAGAGCTACTGTACTTAGGGCCACTATACATAACAAGTGACTCAATGGCACATAACAACAATAACATACTATGACAGGTATGGAAGCAGGAGTGGCATCCATTTCCTAAACAACATGCCACCAGAAAACTCCAAGAACTTGGATAGATGTTGATAGTTTGTAGAGGTGCTTTAGGCCTTTTGTTCAGAGGGTTGCTATGGATCAGGCTCAACTCGAAGGCAATCAACAACAACAACAATGCTAATATATGTTATATATCAATGGAATAGTCAATTTAATCTTCAATAGCCTTATTTAAAAGCTGGTATAAAGATGTTACAAGATAGGGGAAGGTTCCAATCTATTGTTCATAAGGTCACTATGCATCGTAGTCAAACAGCTGGCACCTAACAACAAAAAACACTTCTGCATTTTAATGTATTAAATGAGATTGAGAAACTGAGGAGCTTTGCAAAGGATTCAGTGATTACAAAGCAAAGATAACACAAATCTACTTGAAGAAAGTGAAGAAGACTACAGCTGACAGTATGAATTACACCTCAACATAGAGGGAAAAAAATCCTCATAAATAGACCAATAGGTAGCAATATAATAAACTCAAGAAAGACTGAAGTTGTTAATTATTTCTTTTTATTTGGATCCACAATCAACCCTCATGGATGCAGCAGTCAAGAAATTAAAAGATATGATGAATTGGGAAAATGTGCTGTTGAGGATATCTTTGAAGTACTAAAGAACAAAAATGTTAGTTTAAAGCCTAAAGTATATCTAATCCAAACATGCTATTTTCAATTGCTTCACATGCATGTTAAAGCCGGACAGTGAATAAGGAAGACCAAATAGAAGTGATGCCTTTGAATTGTGGTGCTGGAGCGAGTAATGAATATCCTATAGACTGTCAAATGAACAATGAAATTTGTGTTAGAGGAAATGCAACCAGAATTCTCCCTAGAGGAAAGGATGCTGAAACTTCGCCTCAAACACTTTGGGTATGCTGTCAACAGATGCCAATCCTTGAGAAAAGATATTCTGGGGAAAGTGGAAGGTCAGTGAAAGGGAGGAAGACCTTAAAAAGATGTACGGATACAGTGACTCAACAATGGCCTTGAACATGGTGAAGGTTGTGAGGAAGTGCAGGATAGGGTGAGGTTTTGTCTGTCCTTCTTAGCATCACAACGGGTTGGACTCAACCTTGATAGCACCTAACAACAAGCAGCCAAGATGGCATATGAAACTATCTTATGTATTCTACAGCCTTTGCTCCTACCACTTCTCTGTCCTTCTTTTCCTTATATTTGCATAAAGCTTTTCCTCTCTCAGATGACATTCTATAAATCATGGCATCTAGAATATCAAGTTATCATTTACCAGATGCTAGTTGATTCACTGTAGCCCACTACAGCATGACAGCCTAATGCTTTAGCATGTGATTTTATTTCTTGTCTGATTTCTGCCCACCACGCATCTCGGGTTTCTGGTTCATCTGAAAAATAAATTTTAAATCAGTTCACTACTCAATAGCAAGCTGTATATATGAATAAGAAATGTTTAAAAGAAATACATTCTGGAAAGTGAAGAAGTATTGTTCTGTAACAGCTTTTAAAGCTTCTCATCTTTAAAATGTTACTTCTAACAAGTATAAGACAAAGAAAACAACCACAAATTTTAAAGAATGTTTCAATGTTGGGTGAATTTTTTTACATGCCAATGAAACTTACTGTTTGGAAAAAAAGAAAACTAAACTGTACCTTAAACTTGACTGCCAGAAAATAAATCCCAGTTCTATTTTTTCTATCATATAAAGGAACATTTGTTTTTTATCAGATTCAACTTAAATGTAGCCCCAGAATTTCCATTTTCTACTTTTAAACTGAGAGAATAGGGTTTGTCTCAAATTACTGAAATAACATATCTTATGAATAATATTCATTCTTACTCTAATTTTGTTTACTGGTAATCTGTGTGTTTGTGTGTGTGTGTAATTATTTTTTAAAGCCCAGATTATTTTAAATATTCTAAATTAAATGCTAAAATCAAAGCAAAACATCATAAAGAGATTTGACTCCTCTCCTAAACAAAGTGGTAAGAAAATAGAGAGTAGCCAATTTAAAAAAGGAAAAGAATTTTTAAAAAACCTGTACAAATTATTTGGCTGATGTATATGTTAAGGGCAAATTTCAAACAGATTACTATAAATGCCCGTGTGACTACAATTAAGAAAATGGCTTATAATCACAGAATTATATTTTATTACCACAGAGAAGTCCAAGATGGTTTATAACAGAGCAGAATAAATGTAGCATCTGTCACTTCCTAATCACTTGCATATAGCTGCAAACTATTAGTGAAAGCAGCTGCAAATTATAGTAAGTTTTCATGAGCAAAGATTTTAAAAATAGAAACTGTCTAAAATCAGTAAATTCTAATTTGTGTCTATTTGTGGCCATCCCATTTGGGAATAACTTATGATAAAATAATTACTACAATAAAAATTCTAAATAGAATGCTAAACACTTTTGTAAATTTTCTATATTAAATGCACTATTAGAAGGGCAAAGTCAAATAAGCCAAATACTTTCTACTTTGAACAGCAGTATCCAACCAAATTTCAAAATATGGTTTGCCAAATAAGTAGAACAAGTAGAATTATACTCACTATTAAAATACTGAAGATTGCAAAGTAAAGAAAGGTTAAGAGGCTTGTTATAATTCACATTAATATGATGTGACTTTGTTTCCTCCACAGGGAGGAGATCAGCAAAAGGGAGAAATGAAGAGTTAAAAGCCAGAACTACAAATGATGCCAGTCAGTCCTTGAATTAAAGTTTTGGATCCAAGACAGAGCTACTCTAAAACTTTCTTTCAGAAGAAAAGAAAGAAATGCAGACTCCAGGAAACTGAGGAAAAGATCAGAATATGAGATAAAATAAAGATAAGAGGAAGAGAAATAGAAAAGACTTCAATATGGTATTATCAATCAATTACATGAGCAAGACAATCAGATGGCCCTTTTTGTACATGCACACTGTGTTGGATAATGTCTTCATATTCCTAACTGAAATATGTATCCTAACAGCACAATAAACTTAGAAATCCATTCTCTTTTACTTATAAGACAAACCTGTGGGCCAATTTGAACAACTATTAAACAACATCCTTCCCAAAGGGGATGTTTATATCATATGACAAACTACACTTGAAGTAGATGGGCTAACCTCTCAAATTATGTATGGCTCTGCAAAAATAAATAGTATAAAGAAGGATAGAAATATACATCATTCAGAAAATGGTTTTTCCCTAAACCCTGTGTGAAATTAAATTAAGCTCTTGTGAAATGTACTATCAAGAGCTATTAACTACTTGTTAAATCATTCTAGAAGTTTAACATTATTTACCAAACAAGTGAGTTTTTTATAGAATGGATTCTTGTTTTCACATTTAATCTGTACCATCAAAAACACATGGTAGCTTAGATTTCCTGTTTTAACTATGAAATCTATAGGTAGTAATCTATATGATTGCTTTTAGTGGAGGAAACTATTTTAAATTCAAATATATTTATTTAGAAATGGCCTGCATGTCTAAACAGAAATGTAATAATAATTACTACGAAATATGTATAACTACTTAGAATACAAAGTTTATTTACAACAAACTTACCTTGGGATAACATATAAAATAATCAGATAATTAAATCAAACACTATGGAAGAATATGTGGTTGAGGGGGGGAAAAAAAAAACAAACAAACCAACAACAAAAACCAAAATAACTGAATGCAGTGCAAGTGTAGCATTCATATTCTTCTAACAAATTCACAAGCAGCCTTAATTTTGACACATGAGCCGCACATGAGAATGTCATTGTTGTATTTAATAGCTTATTGACAGGTTTAATAAACACTCAAGAATTACATAACATGGGAGCTAAGGAAGCAAATGGCGTATGTCCAATGCTCCAAAGAATTTCTTAAATTTGGATTTGGTTAAAGCAAAAGCTCAAAGAACAAAGGGTTTGCAAAGGAGATTCAGCAGACAGGAGCCAGAAACGGTGGATATTTTGGCGCATGCTTGGATCAGGTGACAGTACAGACTGAAAACTATGGCAGCTCACTGAAATGGTTACAGAAAGTAATGGCCCTAGATTCTAGGTGAAAGCAAGGCAAGCATACAGTAGGGAGCACTTTATCACAAACTACTCTTTGAAGTAACAATTACCTCAAACTATAAATAAGATTGGCATAGGAATTATTTGGCTAGTAAATTTGCAGTTGTTTAATTAAAACATAATTAGAAGTAAGCAATTTATTTATTATCCAGGGAAAGTTAAACTTGTGTTCTAAGTCTATATTATACTAATGTCAGAGTTGAGTCAGATAATATTAAAATACTATTATGATTCAACCTAACTTGCAAGAAATGAATATTTAGAAATATAGTGTCTAAACCCAACAATGGAATTTTTAAGACTATTCCACTCTCACAGGAACACTTGTGAACTAGAATTATTTTATCTACCCTACAAAAACATAAAATTGAAGATCTCACATATGAGAAACAAAATAAAGGGTCTAGTATGCAACTATGTATTTTGTATGGGAAAAGAGAAAATTTAGTCATTCAAAATGCAAACAGCAGAGCAGTGAGGATCCAAATCAATAAACATTTCAGAGATGTCAAGGAAAATTTCTCACTCTAAATATATTCTTTCCAATAATCTATAACATAATTTATCATTAAAACATATTTTAATTAAAAATTATTACAAAAATTACACTTTTTACTAGTTTTATGTTTTTCTTCTGATTTAAAAACTCTTTATATATAGGTAATATTACAAATCTTCTAATACGCTTTTTAAGTATAGGCATGGACTAAGCCCTTGATCAATATATTGTTGCATCTTTCAGAGGTAATGTCAGAATACTTTTGTGGATATTTAACTACTTTTACTTCTTCTAGAGCATGGCCCTAGCTTGATATCTTGCCATCCTTTTAGCATTTCTTTATTATTCCATTTCTGAAGTTCAGGTAAAACAAGTTCATAAAATGAGAGTGATAATTTATATCTCAGAATACAAAAAGTGACTAACTCAACGCGTCTTTATTCATTCTATTCCTTTGAGTCTGTGAGCAATTATATACTTGCAACAAAGAAACATTGGCAACATGGGGTGTTAAATTCATACTGTTTTTACATAGCTTTGGGACCGAATAACTTTGCCCTTGAGAATCTTTTACTCTGTTTTTTTAGTAAAAAAGTTATCACCCTAATTTTTTTAATGTATGTCAAAAGTGTTAGTAAGAATCAAATATTTGTAATTGAATTGATAACTCTATCCTGTTGATGGACAGCATGAGGAGCTATATATTCAATTTTCTGAAAGTAAGATTACAATTGTTAACACTCTTAAAGAAGATGTATATCCCCTAATAAAGCAGAAATTTGAAAAGTGTACAATTTCAAAGTAGGTGGGAATTCAGTACCAGACTAAGGAAGAAGAATCTTATTAAAGAAGAAATGATACAGTTAAGCCAGAGCAAATATAAGTGTAGTATTCTGGGCTCTTAGAATGATAGCTAGGTTATAATCCATGTTGAAAAAAAAAACCAAAAAAAACCCCAAAACCTCAAATATGTAACTTAATTATGAAATGCCATTCTTTAAATATACAAAATATAAGTGAATATCATTACTTCAATAATACCAGTAATAAAGAATAGCTCACAAATTATAAATACTGTATTTATGCTTTTTGTACTCTATATATGCAAATCTTTAACTATATTAAGCTTAGTTTCACTTCGGTTTGAGTACTTCTCTAACAGAGTAAAAAGAGGAACTGCTGAAATCATCAGAAGTGAGTTTCTAAGACCCTATCTCTAGTCTGTCTTTCTTTCTTCCTTTCTCTCTCTCTCTTTCTCTAGTGCGCACGCAGTCTCTCTCTCTCTCTCTCCCCCTGTCCCTCTCCCTCTCCCAGAAAAGTAGTGTCATAAAGGGCACAGGCAGGGTCTGCGATCAGGATGTTAACCTGGATCATTAACAGCATCCCCAATATCCAACACAGTTACAGTGCTCGGCACATGGCAAGCATGCCGTGCAGAGTCATTCAATAAAATTAAAAGAAGAAAAAATATTATCTGAATGAGCAGACTGATAGGTAAAGAAGATTTCCTCACACACTCACATTTTGTTTCAAGTAAATACTGCAAAGTAATATATTTGTTATTGATTTTTCTAGGACTCAACCTAATGATTTTGCTCCAATATTAAGGTAAGTCTTCTAACAAGAAGTAGTAATATTTCCTAATTACAGGTCTGTTATTTTAATCCAACTTATGCATTTATTTTTACAAAAGGCCATTGAATTAGGTCCGAGTCAAAGTGACCTTATGCATAACAGAGCAAAACACTGCCCAGTTCTGTGCCATCCAAATCCTATTAAAAGTTTCTTTTAGACTAAAAAAACCCAACATGAATATGT